GAAGGTTAAAATGCATGCAGCCTGGCGCTTCTGGTAAAATGGAGACTTTTTTTTTCTTTTCCTCGTGGAAAGGGCATCTGGGGTCAGCTCGGCCGGTGGCCCAGTTTTGCAGGTTGGGAGCCCTGAGGTCATGTGGAGGTCACAGAGAGAGTGTGAGCTGAGAGGAGACTCCCGGGCCAGTGCTCCAAAGGTCTAGGGATGCCACCTTCATGCTGCACAGTGTTAGGTCACTTAACGTCTCCGGGATTCTGTTTGGCACTAGCTGTCTTGCTTAGACCTCTGAGGACGTGAGGCCAGTGTCTGCGTGCCCAGATTAAAAAAAAAAAGTCCTGCTAAATCAAAGGACATAGGCCTCTGTGTGTTTGTCGAGGACTCACACTGATCCCTTGCAGGCAGAATTAGGATGGGGGAAGGTGATCAACTTTCCATAAAGAAAGATTTGGGTTTTTGTCTTTGCTTTTGTTCTGGTGGTGGAGAATAGAGATAGTCACTGCCCTGACCCCCTCCTGACTCACTGGATTGATGATAAATCATGAACTCAGAGACGGAAAGGGGTTTGCCTGGAGTCACACAGCAGAGGCCAGGGGGAATCCTGTCTCCCAGTACCAGTCTTGCACCCCTCCCCACCCCGCACGCTCCAGGCACCCTCTGCCTTCTCTAAGGTCCTCAGTGTGGGTTGTTGGGGGACAGTTTAAGGGGCTTGAGCGCATACTCTTACTTCCTGCCTGGGGGAAATTTAGAGGAAGTCATTTTTGCCTCGCAGAGCCTCAGTTTCCTCATCTGGAAGGTGGAGCTCACCATAGCTGTCCAAGGTGTCATGTGGGGATTCTATTTGAATGGCTCCAGAACTTGCCTTCTCAGTGGGAGTGATATTACCCCAAGTAGGTGAAAAAAGTTGGTTCTCAGAAGGGAAGGGGGAAAAAAAAAAAAAAAAAAAATCTCACTTTTTTTATCTGAAAAAAATTTTTTTTTTACATTTATTTATTTTTGAGAAACAGAGTGAGGCATAGCGTGAGCGGGGGAGGGGCAGAGAGAGAGGGAGACACAGAATCCAAAGCAGGCTCCAGGCCCCGAGCAAGCAGTCAGCACAGAGCCTGATGCGGGGCTCGAACCCACGGACCGTGAGATCATGACCTGAGCCGAAGTCAGACGCTCAACTGACTGAGCCACCCAGGAACCCCAAAATTTCACTCTTTTTACTGTATAAAAGCCCAGTGTATGTACAGTACATAAAGATAGCTACTGTATATGGTATTAGAGTTTTATGGCGGGGGGGGGAATCTAGAAAAAAAATGTCTAAAAAGGCCTCTTAGGGGGAAATGATAAGGCATAAAAGGTAAAGACATGCTGGTTCAGAATTCCGCAATCCACAAGCTTCTTGTTAGTGTTTCAAGCCTCTGGCAGGCTTGGGAAAGCCCTTTGGGGTGTCAGATGGGGAGAGAGCCTGGCCCGGCCCAGACCCTGCCCCTGAAGACCCGTGACGGGACACAGCTTCCTTCCTGGCCTTGTTTCCTCACCGTTCTGTAAAGGAGTTGCCTCCGCTCCACAAGCGGGGGCCGGGTCTTAAGCAGCTGGGATCCTGCCTGGTCAGGGTCCAGCAGGAAGCAGATGGCACTTAACGCTAGGATGATCTGAGGTGTGGGCGGGTGTGGGGAACCGTGAAGAGGAGTGTGGGACCCCAGAGCCAGTGACAACCGGGGATGATCTGCCAAGGCTGAGGGGGAGGGGAGCTGTGTGGGCGCTCAGGGGACAGGGCCCTCTTGATAGGAGCTGGGACCATCAGTGGAGGGAGGCAGCCAGTGTGGGCGCTTCTTCCTCCCCCGCCCTGTCCGATCTCCTGCCAGGGCCCTCCACCACTGGCCTAACCTCGTGGAGGCTGGGGGGTCCAGAAGCTCAGCTGGTGGGGTCTACACAGGTCAGCCCCCTGGACCAGAAGGCAGGGTGGAAAAGAGTGGAGGATGGAACTGGGGCCAGTGGAAGCTGCCTGGAGAGGTAGGAAGGTCCCTTGTCACTTTCCTCTGGAGGGCAGGGCCCTGCCCTGGGCACACAGGGGAGGCTGAAAAGTCAGAAGATCCGGCTGTTTTGTGCAGGGGGGAGGGGACTCCTATCCCTTCCTGCAGGCTCCTCCTGCGTTTCTACCTTCTCACATGGGTGGGGTGTGGCCAGGGCTTCTGAATTGAAGTCTAAGGCTATTTTGGGAGCACCTGAGAGTCTGAGCTATAGTCCTATTGAGTTAGGGGCTAATGGACAAGTTCCTTTCCTCCGCTGTCAGCTTCCTCATCTGCACCATGGGTGGTTGGATCAAGTAACCCCAAAGGCCCCTGGCTAAGACCCAGTAGGCAAGAGGCAGTGTTTTGCACAGGGGATATCAGGTTTTGTCTTGGAGGAGAGGCAGCCTTGCTGGGTTCCTCTTGCCCTACCTGGTGGCTCCATGTATGTCTTGCCTGGAGCCACGATGGCCCACATGCCCAGGAAAGGCGGTGGAGGTGTGTGTGTGTGTGTGTGTGTGTGTGTGTGTGTGTGTGTGTTGGGGGAGGGAGGCAAAGTTCCTGAGGGGCTTCTGGACGCTGAGCACAGTGCCTCATACATAAGTAGGACACAGTGGTTATGGTGGACACCCAGGTGGAGGTGATGGGGGGTGGGGGGAGAGGTGAAGGTAGACTGAGGAGCCCATGAAGAGATTTCCTAGGGAAACCTCCAGAATGAGTGGTGTCTCCTAGAGTGTGACTAGCAGGGACTGCGGAGGAGGAGGGAAGAAGGTTCGCAGCAGGAAACACCACAAGGGAGGCAGTGAGGCCCTGGGAGATCACAGCCACTGGGCTGGGGAGATGCTGAGTAGTGGAAGCTTTTCTGGAAGAGGTGGCCCGGGGCTGGCTAGTGCACAACTGGACCGGGTATCAGCCCCTGCCTGGTAGTCAGCTGCGCCTGAACCCCTCCCCGTGGTGGCCCACTTCCCCCAGGCCCGGGGTGGCATTGCCTGCCTGGCCGTTGGCCAGGGCTCAGTACTGGAGCCTATCCTGGGGGGCGTGGTGACGGGCTCCACTCTGTCCTTCCACACTTCTGAAGACCTCTGTCCAATCTGGCTACATGGAGGGAAAGGACCGGAAAACGTAGACATTGCCGTTCTGCCTTCTGGGACAGCTTGCTCCTTGTCATCTGTTCTGTAGATGTGCACACGTCCACCCGTCCTCGAGTGCACGTGTCCCTGCAGATGAGTCTGCGTGGGTACCCGTTGGAGTGTCTGCATAGATGTGGACGTGAGTGTGTGGCTGGGCATGCGTCCCTGTGTGTGCACATGCACCAGGGAAGTGTCTGCCCCCTATCCTTTTTCTTCCTTGCGAGCCAACAGGACTTTCCTGAGCAGCCCCCATGTGCCAGGCTCCACACAGGATACTGGGGATGAGATGCAGCCAGCTTGGGCACGGGCAGTAGGAGTTCCATAGCCAAGCAGAGAGAGAGAGAGAGAGAGAGAGAGAGACAGACAGACAGACAGACAGACATGTACCGTGTGCGAAGTGAGATCATCGGCAGGAGGCTTGGCCTGGCTGTTGCTAGAGGAGCCAGAAGGGGGCTGAGAGCTGGGGGCAGAGGGATTACCAGGGGTCTCCTCCGGGGCCTGTGGGATGGGATGGACCGGATTCCTCTGTGGGGGACCACAGCTGGAGCACAGGCAGAGAGATAGCCAGTGCCGAGCACGGCGTGGGGGAGCCAGCCAGGCAAGTGGCCAGGTCGCACTGACCTGAGAGGTTTTGAACAGGCAGGCTCAGGTCATGGCTGTGAGTTGTAAGTAAGCTGTCACCGTCTAAAAATCAAAACACTTCGTATTTTAAAAAGCTCAGGTTTCCAGCTTCTCTTGAACTGTGGGAAGCCGTGGCTACCCTGGGCCCCCCCGTGGCTACACTGAAATAACCAGCTGGGTGCTACCCTTGATCCTGAAACCTACCAGCCTTTGCACTCCCATCGAGTTTAAGGCCTCTAGAAAAGAAGGTCTGAATTGGAAGCCAGAGATCACAGATTCTCATGTTTGAAGGGACTACTTGTATACCTCCAGGAACAGGAAGCTTTATTATGTCACAAGATATATGACTCGAAGTGAAGATTTGGAGAGAGCTTTTTTTAAAACACATTGGAATATACACAACTATATATATATATATATATATATATATATATATATATATATACACACACACACACATATATATTATATATATATATACACACACACATATATATATACTTGTATAAATTACATGTATATGTATATATATATATTATATATATATATAATGAAGTTTGCCATTTTAATCATTTTTAAGGGTACACTTTAATGGCATTAAATACATTTACAGTGCGGTGTGACCATCACTGCTACCCGTTGCTCGCTCTTTGCCATCACTCCAAACAGAAACTCTTATCATTAAGCAATACCTCCCCATTCCGCCTGCCTCCAGCCCCTCGGTTACCTCCAACCTACCTTCCATCTCTATGAGTTTGCCGAGATTGCAGGTGTTTCATGTAAGCGGACTCGTACAACATTTTGTGCCTGGCTTTGGTAGCTCAGCATGTTTTCAAGGTTCGTCCACACTGCAGCGTGTGTGAGAACTTTTGTTCGTTTTTATGACGGAGTAGCATTCCATCGTATGGATGTACCACCCTGTGTGTATGAACGATCGTCCATTCATCTGTGGATGGACACTTGGGCTGTGTCTACCTCTTGGCGATTATGAATGACGCTGCTGTGCACATTTGCATACAAGTCTGTGTATGTCCCTGTTTTCAACTCTTGGGGGTATATACCCAGGAGAAGAATTGCTGGATCGTGGGGTTAATTCTGGCTTTCACTTTCTGGGGGAACAGCCAAACTGTTTTCCACAGTGGCTGTACTCTTTTAGGGGGACCAATTGCCTGTCGTCCTGGGCAGGATGGGGAATGACAGGAGGGCCTGACCGAGTGGCCTCGATCGTCTGTCCTCACCCTCTCTCTCCCTCTGTTGACAGAGTCGCCCCAGGAAAGGCCGGGCTCCCGGCGCAGTCTGCCCGGCAGCCTCTCAGAGAAGAACCCCAGCATGGAGCCCTCGGCCACCACGCCGTTCCGGGTCACGGTAACTATCTCTGCGTCACCATCGCCACCTGGCCTGGGGTGCCACTCTGCGACCCCGCGGGCCCCCTTCCTGGAGCCTCACGGACCGGGAGAGCATCCAGCCTCCCTTGTTCTAGGTATCCGATCACTCAGCTGCTCCCCTGTCTGTGGCTCAGCCTGGGGGCCACACGGGGGTCCCGTCCTGTGAGGGAGGGGGCAGACGGAGGACAGACAGCCCCGCAGCCACGGGGCCCAGAGCGAGCTGGCCGGGGAAGCGAGGGTCTAGCGCGAGCGAGGCCAGATAAACACACCCTCACGTGTGCACATGCACACCACGCTTCCGCGACTCTTAAGATGCACGATTTTTATTTTTGCGTTTTAACATCTCTCACGTTGCAGTCTGTGGCGTGTCATAATTTAATCGCTGTGTTTTTTTCTTTCTTGGAGACCCATAAAATAATGCTGCATCTTAAAACTGATGAGGCCTTCGAATTGACAAAGCACAGCATATATACTCTAGCTATTGATTTCAGTGGCCTCATTAGCATACACCTTTTTATGACTAACCCAAACAGCTTTACGGAGACAGAACGCGGTGACCCTTATCATCTGACTCCCTGTGTCCCGCTGTGTCCTCGCCGAGCACGCACACTATTGTATGTTCCCGTGCGCCCCTCTGTCCAGTGCTCTGTCGGCCACTGGAGGCACAAAGTACAGACAGGGAGAAAGCAGAACACGCCATCTCTTCCCCTGGGAGCTCATGGTCTATAGAGGAGACGGGTGGATGTCCGATCGATACTTCATCCATTCCTTCTTCCAGCAGTTTTTATGGCAAGCCAGCTGTGTGCCAGGCACCACTATTGGGACTGGGGCTGAGTGGGAGGCGGTGGCCAAGAGAGGACCTGGTAGACATTCTCATGCTCGAGCTACGTGCTGTGAAGAAAAGCAGGCTGCTGTGATAGAGGACACCAGGAGGGCTTCCTTGAGGTGGTGTGGTCGAGAGGTGATATTTGCGCGGAGGCCCAAGGGATGAGGCGCCAGCCCTATGGGGAGCAGGGGAAAGAGGGTTTTGGGTGGACGGAACAGAGAGGGCACGGGCCTGGCTGTCACCATGCAGTGTGATTTTGGGGCTCCAGATGAGCTAGGAGTAACTAGCTGTTCCCTATGCATTAGAAAGGGTATCCCCCTGGAGGCTGACTTTATGAGCTGGGTCTTAAAGGGTAAGGAGGCACAGTGAAAGAGGGAGTTCCAAGTAGGGGGAACAGCAGCTGCAAAGGCATAGAGGCACACTAGAGACTGATGTGTTTGTGAAACGGAGAAATGCGTGGTGGGACTGGAATTGAGGGGTATGGAGGACTGGGTAGGCAGCTGAGCAGCTGTGCTGAGTCTGGGGCCGATGGAGCTTCAAAAGCCAGGCTAAGCGGGGTGGGGCTTTCCATGGGGCAACTGATTCTCCCGCCAGTCTGTGTGTCATAAGAATGCTTGCAAAACAGATTCTTAGGTCCCCTCAAGATTTCAGTGCGGTGGGCCAGGGGCAGGACCTGGGTATCTGCATTTAAAAAGCTCCCCCAAGAGGTGGTTGTGAGCCTCAGGCTCTGAATTGGCCTTGGGCAGCAGGAGGAAAGGGAAGCCTGTGCCGAGAGTGGATTCAGGGTCACTCCCCTGGGTGTGGTGGGGGCCCCTGGGAGACCATCTCTAGCCTGCAGGGAGGGCAAAGACGCTGACACCTGGGTGACCCTGACTCTAATCAGTCAACTGGAGCTGAGGCCAAGTCCTGCCTTTCCCCGGGCCCTAGGGGCCACAGCCTCTGGGGCTGAGCCTTCAGGGGCCATAGGGAACAAAGACTAATAATAACGTAGCCACCTGCACTATGCTTCCGGTCCTACGTAGATGATCTTTTTTAATCCTCAAGACAGCCCTGAAGCTGAAACTTTGATCACCCCATTTCACAGATGAGAAAACTGAGGCTCAGAGAGGGGAAGTCACTCAGCTAAGCTCCAAGGGCCACTAAATGGTGGAGCCAAGGTCGAGACCAGCCTCTCTGATGTCCGGGCACAAGTGTGCACTCCCGGCCGTGAGCAGGGGAGCCGTTGCCCCCGTGCCCTCCCGGAACCTCTCAGTGTTTCTCCTTGCCTGTTCCCCTTCCTTTTGCTGCTCTGATAGATGTATCATCACACCTTGAAGTTGCTGTCACTGCGGCTCTTTAACTGCCGGGTAGGTTTGGCGTCCTTCTTGTAGTGACGTCTTCGCCCCATTAACCGTGTGTGGGTCAGAGCCAGCCCCAGGCTTCTGGACCCCCAGGCACTGGGACTCAGTCCCGCCTGCATGAGCTGGGTCCGCAAGGTGGAAGGCGTGTTCACTTGTCACTTTACCCACTTCTCACAGCGACCTGGAGGGGAGGGACCATTCGTGTCTCCATTTCACAGATGAGGGAGCTGAGGCTGAGAGACATGAAATCATTTGCTCGGCATGATGGATGCCAGGACCGTTGGACATTGACATTTTGTGTCCTTCCCTGGACACCGTGGCCCTTTTCTGTGTGGAGCACTTCAGGGTGTGAGTGTCTATACTGGGCTGTGCTTGGAGCTCACGGGTGCTAGAGGGCTCAGAAATAGGGATCTGGGTTCAAATCCTGGCTCTTCTGTGACCTGTGTGACCTCATTAGTCACTCAGCCTCTCTGAGCCTCCAGTCCGTTTCAGTAACGTGTGGAATGTCCACCCTTCCTTGAAGGACTGTGGTGGACCTTCGTGAGTCCTGGCACGTCGAGGCCCCCGTCTGACCCAGGGTGGACACTCAATACAGAATATCCGCCATCATCCTTGGAATCGTATTTCCCTTTTTGGCTTTGGAACAGTAGAGATCTGGGGAGGGTCAGGGTGGAGAGCCAAGGACAGGGCGTTTGGTGGGAGGGAGCCGGGCTTGGGTGTTGGGGACAGACGCTTGTAGGACCAGAAGCACACCCTCTTCTCCTGCCCAGCTTACACTTCCTCACATGTGCTGCCACAGGCCGCATCCTCACGTGCTTGGCTGACTGCTGCTGTGTGTACCCTCCCCCCTCCCCCACGGAGGGAACCCAGGCAACATGGTTTTGCCCCAGGGGAGGCAGGAGACACAGTACAGGATATACCTGAATAACTGGTGTCTTCGCTGCCATTTGAAACTCAGGGGACAGGATGTCACCCCCTCTCACAGAAATGCCCTTGTGCAACCATAGAGTTTAATGGAGAATCAACATGTTGTGTTCGCTCGGATTCATTCTGTCTGCCTCCCCCGTGAAGACTAAAGCCTGGGAGAGGCTGGACTCGTCCAAGGTCACCACTCAGCTGGGAGCACTTCTGGGTCCCGGCTGTTTGTACCCATACGTGGCCCTAACCTTTTGTGATTTGGCCTGGGACTGCAGCCACCCCACAGGGCGTCAGGGGCTGGGCACAAGTCCCACCTCTGTTTCTTGGAGATCATGTGACCCTGGGGGACCCTCAGTTTACCCTTCTCTAAAATGAGGAGTATGGACTTTGTAAGGCAACATGTGGTTTGGGCATAAAGTGGGCGCTTAAAGATTTCGATGCAGTAACGAAAAGAATGAGCTAAAAGTCAGCAGACTCAGGGCTGAGCCTCGTATCAGCTTTGTGACCTGGGCAAGATACAGAACCTTTGCCCATCTGGTATGACTTCCTTCTATCTACAGGTGGAGTTGGGGGTGGGGAGTGGACCACTAGGACCCATGGTGCCAGCAGGCTGGGGTGTGCCCTGAGAGCTATGGAGGACCCTGGACCAGGATAGGATGGAGAAGGGAGCTGGGAGCATGTGACCATATGGGTCTTCTGCCCATCTCTGGCCCTCAGCTCTCAGGCTCCACAGAGATGTCGAGGCCAAGATTCAAACCCAGATCTGTCTTCTCTGCATCAGTAGGGAATCCTGGAAGGAAGAGAGGGAAGGCAGGCAGCAAGCTGGGGCCCCGTATCTGCACACGCTGTCAGACGGGGTCCGGGGGCTCTGCCTGGGCCCGTCTCCCTTCCCAAAGCCCAGGGATCCTTAGCACAGCAGCATGCTGCCCCTTCTCACCTGCCACTCCATGTTAGGAATTCATGGTGTGATTTGGGGGGAAGGTGATGGTGACTGTTACCTGTCTCCCCACGGGTCCCCTCAGCCCGCCACCTGCCCCAGACCCAACCTCCCCTTGGTGTAGGCTGGGTCCTTCCTGTCTGCCCCCCACCCCCTCCCATCGACCTTGAGGAGGGCTGGCAGGGCTGGGGTGTGGGAGGCGGCAGAGGCTCTGGGAAACTTGACAGCCAATTGATTCCTCTTCGGGAAGTTGAAAGTGGAGAATCGTGTTTGAAGGTTTAGCTGAAATTAGGTCTCAGGGCTATTTTTTGCAAGATGGAGAAGGAGAAGTGTCAGGGAGGGGAAGGCCCAGGGGGGTGGCGGAAGCTGCAGATAAACTCAGTCGCGGGTTGATTGCAGATGCTTCTGGAAAGGGGTCTTAGTTCCTTTCAATCACCTTCTTCTGCTGGATGCTCATTTGTGCGCACCCTGGGTGGTGGGATGGAGGTGCAGCTGGGGTGCTGTGGGAACCCAGAACACGGGGCAGTTACCATCGGCTGATAACGGTAGGGAAGAAATCCTGGAGGAGGATCTTTGGGGCTGAGCTTTGAGGGATGTGTAGGAGTTTGTCAGGAACAAAGGGAGAAGAGTATTCCAGCTGGGGGAGACGTACGTGAATTGGAACAAGCCAACGGCCCTGTGTGATTAGAGTGTTGGGTGAGTTGGAGACATAAAGGAGGGGGCACGGGAGAGGAAAGTGAGTGGGTGGAGGCTTTGGACTTGCCCCTGTGAGGCACAGGAGCCACAGGTGATGCTGGGTAGGAGAGGAGCCAGCAGATCTCTGGGATGTGGACTTCCAGCTCCACACCCCTCTCCCCACTCCTGCAGCTTTTCCCTGCACCCTTTTCGTGACTCAGCTATCTTTTCCCATCACACACATAGTGCCAGGCACGTGGACATAAACACACAGGCCTGTGAGG